ACGCGCAGACGCGCAGACGCGCAGACGCACAGACGCGCAGACGCGCAGACGCGCACGCGCACGCGCACGCGCACGCGCAGGCGCACGCGCACGCGCACGCGCACGCGCACGCGCACGCGCACGCGCACGCGCACGCGCACGCGCACGCGCACGTGCACGGCACACGCACACGCACACGCGCACGCACACGCACACGCACACGCGCACGCACACGCACACGCACACGCACACGCACACGCACACGCACACGCACACGCGCTCGAACGGCATTCGCCCATGAATATTCGCTCAGTCGAGGCCTCCCATATGTAACGTGTTTTTAATTTTGCATTGATCAGGATGCTGATTCTGATTGAGCGTTGCTACTTGTTGGGTGTTAAGCTTGGCTTTGTACCAACGTCAAAACCGAGACTGCATCATGTGGCTACTATGAGTTATGATGCCACAACGTACCTTTATGCTGTAAAATTGGACACAACTGCTGTGACACCTGCCATTCCATGTTACATGTGTCAGGGCTGGAGCCTTGCTTCCATTGCGTCGGCATGAGGATGTTGACGGGTTGCAGCTCACCAGCCCAATCCTTCAACTTGGCAGTCTTTGGTGCCGGATGGTGCTGGATCTATTCCACCACTCACTTGCCCAAAGCGACTCTTGATCGTTTTGTTTTCCATGCTGGCCACTTTTGGCCCTGGTACTTTGGAAAAGTGAGTTAGGGTGCCGTCATGCCCATGCGCAGAGTTTCACGTGAGGTCAAGCTGCACTGCACAGTGCTTGGCAACTTGGCACACCAAGGTCTGTCGTGGGAAGCCTCGAGCTGAAGAGAATATTCTTCCATTTGGTTGGGAATGTGTGTTGTTTTCCCTGGTTGGTTTTAAAGAGACTCTATCACAACTGGACATACGTTTATTTTTCCAAAGGGGGCTTAAGCAAATGGAGGCCTTATTCCGTGACAGGTGATGTGATGCGGGCGCTTCGCTTTCGTCTTCTCACCCGAGGCTGGCTACACGCCCTCCGCTGCCACTCTCTCATGCAATGCAAAAACCTTGGCACCAGCCACTTGGTCTGAAGCTGACAAGTGGGCGCTGGGGAGCCAAAACCAGTGGCGGCAACGAAGTCGCCAGCAGCGAGTGGAGAGTTCCCATGAGTACAAACGCTGGCCTTACCAGGCATAAGGATTATTGGTGGATCGTTTCATCCCTACGCTTATTTCCTTTTCTTGACGCAGCTGACGCGAAGCCAGTGCGTTGCTGAAAGATGTTTAAAGCCTGTCAAGCTATAATGCAGTAGAACCAGTGATCACTGAGGAGGCATTTATGTGATCAACCAGACAAGATCTGGACTCGTCGGAGAAATGCTCTTTATTGTTAGCCCTGGGACCATGCTGGGGGGTGCCCTTAGGCCACCTTTACGTGTGCGGCCAACCCCTGCAAGCTCCCGAGCGTGGAGCAGAGCAAGGGCAACGGCTGCAAGGGCGTCGCTGGTGACACCATTGAGTCTGGCAAGGCAGGGGGTTTGAGGAGCCAAGCGCTGAGTGGGCGCTGAGTCGCCCGTGCAGCGTGGGTTTAGAATACGACCACCTACAGTTTGAACTAAAGTGACTTTCCCGGGGCCAAGCGTCGTGGATCGCCGAATGTTCAACCCTGAAACTCGCGAGAAATTCGGCACCAGATACGTAATCGGTCCGATTCCTGGTGGACATTCGCCAGCGTTGCACGTTCAATCGGACATGGTCCTAGGCTGGATCCAGCCACACTCTGACCAGACATTCTCTTGGATTCGGCCTCTGATTACGCAGGCCTGCAGGACAGTCTGCAACGCGGGCTACACGCCAAGTGTAGACCACCTTGACTGTTTGGCCGAGACCTTGACTCCTGCCACCTTCGTGCGGCCCGGCATGCCAGAAGTTGCAAGGCTTATGCGATCTTATGCTTGTGGGATGTTGTAGGAGGGGCCCGAATGGAAAAAAACGAGTAGAACAGAAGCTTGGGGCTGTGTGCCGCCTATGGGGACAGAACGTCTTGATAAACAGCTCCCTCTAGTCACCAAGCCAAGGAGCTTGTTCCATTCAGATTTCACCAATCGCTTTTCTTGGTGAACTCCTGGTTTCACGAAAATCCCGATGAAGAGCAGAC